GTCGTCCCAAACATTGCCAAGCGCGGATCCCACGCGGACTCTACAAAGTCCGACTGTAAGAGCTGACGACAGCCATGTTCGGATCCACGGTCCAGCAGGCGCGTCGCCCCCACATCTTGCGAAAGGCAAGGACCTGAAGTTTGCCGGGATCCGAACTTGGCGAGATTGCATGGGAGGGACACAGGTGTCTACGCACCTCTCCGTTCGGAATATTTCGAAGTGCGGATCTCGGCGGACTTCGCATATCTACACTTCACGACCTGGCGACAACCACGTTCGGATCCGCGGTCCAGCGTGCACGCCGCAAACATTGTTTGCAAAAGGCGGCGACCTGAAGTTCGTCGGGATCCGAACTTGGCGAGATTGCTTGTGGTAGACACGGTCGTCACAAATTTTGAAGCGCGGATCCCTGCGGTCTTCACAAAGTCTGACTATAAGAGGTGACGGCCGCCACGTTTGGATCCACAGTCCAGCAGGCGCGCCGCCCCCACATCTAGCGAAAGGCAGGAACCTGAAGTTCGCCGGGATCCGAATTTGTCGAGATTGACGTAGACGGACAGAGCTGTCTACGCACCTCTTCGCCCAAACATTTCGATGTGCGGATCTCGGCGGACTTCGCATATTTACACTCCACGACCTGGTGACAGCCACGTTCGGATCCACGGTCAAGCAGGCGCGCCTCAAACATATCTTGCAAAAGGGGGCGACGCGAAGTTCGCCGGGATTCGAACTTGGCGAGATTGCTTGAGGTAGACACGGTCGTCCCAAACATTTCGAAGCGCGGATCCCTGCGATCTTCACAAGGTCCGACTATAAGAGGTGAGGGCTGCCATGTTCGGATCCACAGTCCAGCAGGCGCGCTACCCCCACGTCTTGCGAAAGGCAGGAACCTGTAGTTCGCCGGGATCCGAACTTGACGAGAATGCGAACTTCGACGGAGATCGAACTTTTTCTCGAGTTCGGTGGCTGCTTGACGTGCGTCGTCCGATGCCCAACAGGTGTCGATGCCCGACGAGGTTAGACGCCCGGTGGCATTCGATGTCCGCCAAGGTTCGACGTCTAACGAGGTTCGATGCGCACCGAGGTTAGATGTGGAGCCAGGTTCGATGGCCTGCAAGGTTCGATGTGCGACACGATTTTAACGACGTGTTTTTTTCCATTCACGGGTGGGGATCGACCTTGCACGATCGGTTGTCTGATCCGTTCGCGGGTGTGGATCGTGGATGTTCATTCGACCGTCGGACACATCCATTGATCGCACTCGATCCACCACCTTGATCGCACTCGATCCATCATGCAGTTGATCACTTCAATCGGGAAGAGAAGAGTGGATCAATCGGCTAGCAGATCGGTCGCTCGCAGACGCTGCTTCCATAATCCGTCTTCGATCGTCCGGTCCGTCTGACTGGTTGATAAACATCGAACGAACGGTCGAGTGGGGATCTTCCGTGATCGACTGATTGGTCGTCTGCTCAGTTGGCGGTTGGTCGACTGGTCATTCGAGCAATCGATCATCCACCTGGTCCTGGCAGATTTGATCAACCGATCGACTGATTGGTCGAAGTCTACCAACTAGTTCAGTCGCTCGCCGAC